TCTTGGAGCCAGGACAGCAAACCCACGTGTTTTTGCTGATGGATCACAACTGATACTCCAATTTTCCTTTCAAAATAATTGCCAAATAACTAGAAAAGTATAATATATCTACATTTGAGATATTGGCTTAATGACTATCTCCTCTGTTTATTAATTTATTTGAAACGACAACAACTTTTCAAAGATATCAAAATAGTTCTGCTTTAACCCATTTCCCTGGAAAGACCATTAGAAGGGGCTTTTCTTCCTCTCAAAGCATTAATGGAGTACAAATCGGATGACATGCCCGTTGTTGCTGTTATTTATGTAATCCTCGCCTGGGTGAGGAGGGGATCAGTGCACATGGGAGGGAGGGGCCGGACACAGAGCTGCACCCTAAGTAAGTAAAAGAGTAAGAGCCGTTTGCTCATTGGCAGCAGCGTCCACTGATGCAGTCTGATTTCTATCTGTCGCTAAGCAACAGCTTTGAGGGACCTAACGTCCCCATCACGTTGGGGGGTGTGTGTGTGTCACATGACTCCCAGGCAAAGTAAAACAGATATAGCCCAGCCATACACTTGGATGTATTCTGAGAGCCTTTCTGCTGTCATTAGGCTCGTGTTGCACACTGTCCTGGCTCTGAACTGTCCGTTACACAATGTACCTCCTTCACACAACCGCACAATGATTCAGACTGGCATTTATTGTGATAAATTATTGCAAGTCCCTGCGCCAAACCATCCTGTGAGTAGTGCTTTTCTGCACTAGCTCCAGCTCCCCACTGTGTGCCATTACATAATTGTCTCATGTTTGAACATCTTTATCCCCCCTGCTGTGTCAAAGCAGAGATGTTTGCTTTTACTGAAGACGAACAGCATGTGTATGCCAGTATTATTTTCATCAATCTCTCTAGTTTCGTCTCCTGCTTCTTCTCTGCCATGACCTAATTTCGTTTGGCCAATGATTTTTCAAGAGGAACTTGAGAGTTCATATTAAAAGGCTCCCTCCCCCAAAAGTCTAGATCTCACCAAGTCGATCTGAATTCAGCAAAGAAAGATGCTAATTATCTTCCCCGTAGAGATAGCCGAATGAAACACACAATTCAGTCTGGAGGGTCTGTGCTGTCTGATGAGGAGGGTCCGCCCTTTGTGCCAAATACATGTGGAAGCTCACAGTCCCTCCCTGGCCTACTTATATATCTCCACAATAATTAAATCTAACAAGCACTCGATGGCTGTGGCGAGGAGGTTTTTTATAGCCGACATGTACGAGGTGCTGTGTGAAATCTGCAACCGTCTGCTGGGGTGTTGAACTCGGTGTTAATGATATTTATACGATCTTAGCCTCACATGTCTTAATGCATGCTTCCTGTAGGCTATGGCACATAGTTGTCATTTGCTCCCCTCGTCTTTAAGAGACATGTTTTATTTAAAGACTGAGGAGACTAGAGGCGTTTGGTCTCACAATCAATTTATTTCCATTACCAAGAAGCAAAAGCATTTTCACCAGGTGGCCGAGCATGACAGTGCACGAGGGATTTTAATACTTTCCCACTTCAAACGATTTAAGCTCTCTATATTCAGAAGGACTGACTTTTCAAAGTGAAGTACTTGCCAAAAAAATCGGCCCTATATGAGAGACGAGTTGGACATATTGGGTCACTGAAAAAGTATAGTTTATTTAGTGGTATTTACTCAAACAGAATTGGAAATGTATATTAGCTTTTCAGGGAGAAGCAGGTGATGAATCTCAGTCGGCAACAGACCAATGAGTGATTCCTTGTTAAACAACAGCCTGCAACTACAGCTTTGTCATCATTAACTTGGTGAAAGGGAAAGAGGAACATAAGGAGAAACAAGAAATCTAACCCTTTGTGCTGTGGATCCTTTCAGTGTCTCTACTGTTGGCCCAGGGATTATTTTTCCCCAGCTCAGCGAGGTTAATATCATCAACTGGAATCTAGTATTGTTTACAGACGGACAATCTTGTGCTTATGGCCTGAGCTGCCACAGCAGAGGAGATTGAATGGCATCGAAGCCTCAGATCTGAGTGTTATCATGGCAGCACAGGATGCTGCTGTCAGCGGTCACTGGATGTGTTGCAGTATCTCCCGGCAGGGCGCTGGGAGGGCAGGTGGCAGCTTTCCACAACAGGTACTAGATACAATTACAGGCCTGCACCAAAAGGGTTTTCCCAGCGTTTTATGCCCCTGCGGATTTATAGTCACAACTGACAGGATTTACAGGATACTGACAGGATCCTATGACCTGAAGAAAACTCAGATAGCTTCACACTGAAGAATCTAGAATAAAATGTATTGTCATTTGCACAAGGAAAATCTTAATTCCCAGGCTCCACCTCCTGTGACACACAATATATACATAAAAATAGTGCGAGAAGGAATAGAAATAAATGTAAGGGATACAATGGTGCAAGTACAATTCAGAGTAACTAGACTATATACATGTCAAACATAAAAACAGAATGTGAAATTAAATACTGTACTGTATTTAGTTTTTGTTTGTAGCAGTTGCCACACGTTCCCAGAAAGAACACAGTGAGCAGAAAAATAAAATCTGAGCCCAGTTTATTGCTTTGGACACATTTGAGCTCCTTTTTCCAGATTATTATGGATATCTGAACGCAGATCTTTTTGTGCCTTTTTCTGTTTATATAAGTCTTTGGTTCACTCGCCAGTCTCAGACAGAAACTGATCACAAATCAGGTCACAGCTTGTATCGATGAAAGAGCTGAGACATTTCCAGTCATCACAGTAAAAGACACCGTTTTGTTTTGGATATTAAAACCTCCTTTGTCAACATTTAATGTAATACACTTATACATACAATAAGTAAATTGAACTGGAATAAATGTACTTCTCCTCTATGTCCTGATTGATTATCTTTGACATATTGAAATTAAAAGTGTTAAGCTAATAGGAACTGCACACTCTGCACTTCTGGAGGATTTGTTTATTGTGAATCAGATTTGGCCTTCATAATAAATCAACAGTATCACTTCATGGGGAAAAGTGTCTCAAGGATACATTTTACACTGTTTGGCTGACTCAGATATTCAGCCTGGTTCATTTGGAGAAATGCAGCAGAGAGAAGCTGCAGCTGCATTAGACGCCAAGATATTGCAGGTGGGGACCCTGAGCTTCAGAAGCCTGAGCACAATGCATTTTGGTACATGTAGACCAGGGGTGCCCACACTTTTTGGGCTGGTGAGCTACTTTTGAAAGGACCAGCTCACCGAGGTCTACCAACCAAAAATAAAATCCCAAATTGCAAGGGTTGCTGAATAACACGTTTTATTTATACATGGGATAATAGGGCTGCAACAAACGACTAATTTGATAATCGATTAATCTATCGATTAATGAAACGACTAATCGACTATTCAGACTATTACTGTCTGCCTTGCACAATTTCTCAAACCCTCTTGTTTAGCCATCAACTTTTAGATTTAGCTTGAGGTTGTTTTAGGCATGTGGAAACTAACAATGAAGACAATAAAGATGAATACTTGATTCAAAAATACATATATTATTAAATTAACAAATTGTGAACAAAACTAACATTGCTTTTTATTTAAATTAAATAAATAATATTTCACATCAAAAGAAACAACAATATTTTAACAAATCGTATTAAATAATCTGATGACAGAACTGTGAACAGAATAGCTGAAACTTTAACAAAATAAAGAGTAACTCAGTTTCCTCTAATCATTAACCCATGTTTGAATCATTGAGTTAACTGCGTGTGTTGCTGCTAGCATACATAACACCTGACGTGGAAATGTTACTCGTGGAGGGGGCTGCAGAGCTACTAGAAAGACAGTGGAACCCGGTGCATTCCTCCGTCTGGATGTGGTGCACTTTTGCTAAATGTTTAGACACATTGCTCGTGTTACCGCCCTCACATGCTGAACTCTCTTGGCAAGGAGCATTGTCCACCTCAAGACGGGTAACATTTAACCACACCTTGGAGCGCTTCTCTCCGCCATCTCCTCCGTGTGTTGCTGCTTGTAGCAGCTGCGTGTGTGTAAACTGCCCCGCCCCCTCGCGCACAGACGGGGGAGAGAGATCTCGTCTCGATTGGAAAGATCGAAAATACACCGACATTTGTTTGTCTTTTTGCATGTTAGAAACGAGTTGGCGACACTAAGATTGCGAGATAATATTTGTGTAGCAATAATACATGACCTTTCTCAACTCGCTACTCGGAGGGAAGTCGCTGTTATGCCTTGTGAACACTCCGATAATGCCTCTCCACGTTACCTTTCTTTGGCAGAGCGACGCTTGCTTTACAAATAAGGCAAATAATCTTTGAATGTGACATCACAAACAAATATTCTTCCTCCCATTCTGGGTGGAAGTGGTATGTCTTTAGCTTCTTGCTCGGTCCCGCACTCATTTTGTTGTTTGTCTCTTGTTTGTCTCTTTAACTTAATTTGAGTTTTCCCGGCACTTGACTGATTTTGTATCGCTTTGCATTCTGGGTTAACAGACTGGAAAGCGATAGGTCGCTTTTTCTGTCAATCAAGTAAACTCCTGAATTAAGTGGCAGGGAGGAGGGATCAAAACCTGTTTTGTCTATTTTAACGGAACAGGATTTTTTTTTTTATGAATGACTCGCGATCTACCAGCATTGCCCCCGCGGTCGACCGGTCGCCCGCGGTCGACGTACTGGGCACCTCTGATGTAGGCACTGCAGCTAAGCTCTGTGAGCAGGAAAATTCAGTTTTTATGGACATTTATTCTTCCATTGAAACTGATTCAACATCCATATAAAATGTGGCATTTCTTTTATTTCCCTTGACAGTACTCAATTCTAACATCAACATTATATTACACTGTTCTTGGTTTTCAATCTTGCCTATTTTTATGCTTTTGTTGCATTGTTTTATGTTGTAGAATAGCAGGTTGTGTTAATATCTCTGTCTGTGTAATTAAAATCCCAAACAGTGTTTATTTATTTGCACGACATGCCTGACATTCTGCTCTTGGTTTTCAGGTGCAGAGGACGTGGTCATGGCGTTCTCGCGGCAGGAGGCGGAGGATCGGCGACAGTGACACTGGGCCCCTCAATCTCCCTCCACTGCACCCCCTCAATCTCCCTCCACTGCACCCCCTCAATCTCCCTCCACTGCGCCCCCTCAATCTCCCCCGCCCCCCCCCCCCCCCGCCCCGCACGTGATCCACACAGCAACCCAAACACGACACTGATGAGCTCAGGAGAGGAGGGGGCCCAGGAGGGAGAGGAGGGGATGAGACTCCAGAAGCTGCCTCGCTCTCTCCTCCAGCCTCTTCAAACCCCCCCCCCACACACCCCACACCCCACACTCGAGCTGGCCCACCATGACCCGAGAGTCACTATGTGCTCAAGCCTCGGCAACAAGGCAGTCAGTGAAATCACTCGCAGGTCGTGTGGATGAATATCAAATGTAGTTTTTTTTTTTTTTTCTGTGGGTGGGTTGGTTTTGTATTATTTTGTCTGTGTTGAGACATTAGGCAGTGTTACGTGATATATCTGCTGCGGTCACTGGAGCAATGTGACCGGCAGCAGCTGATTGAAGCAAAGAGAAATATAGTTTGGGTCAAGCAGTGAGTGTGATGGTCGATCGTGTTAGGGGAGACATTTTTATTATTTCTGCTTACCCTAATGGGGCTGAAATGTTTTGATTTAGCTGATGTGTCATTAAGGCTTTTGTATTGTCACACAAGGGGCCTCATTTATAACATTTGAGGTGTATAGAAAAAGGTGTGAAATATGGCAACGCCATCTCCCACGCAGCTGTTCTAGATACTCTGGAACATTTCTGAAACTTCAATGCTGAAGACAAAGTAGCCAAATAAAGTTTAATGTATTAATAACTCTTCTCAGAAAATTAACGTTTCTTTTATATATATAGTCCTGCCTAGCCTGTGAGAAAGGTCAGGCTGCACCTGTAAACATTAGGTGCTTTCACACTGCGGTACTTTTCCCACAAAGGTTCATGTGAACTTAGTTCATGAGAACTCTTTAGTTCTCATGAACTAAGTACAGATCGCGTTCACACTGGAAAAAGTCCCTGGGGGTGGATTAGGCAAATGACGCCGCTGACGTCACTTCTTCTTCTTCTGCTTTGGGTTTACTGGCAGGCCGCAAACCACTTCACGGCGTATACTGCCGCCCAAAGTCCCCGGCCGGAAGTCCCCGGAGTTGGGGACTGGCTTCAGTAGAAGCTGCTGGGACTCCCAGCAGCTTCTACTGAAGCCTTCCGAGTAAATCGCCAGAACGCCGACACCTCCTCATCTCTACCACTCCCATGTTTTATTTTGTGTTGCCATAAGTTAGTCTCTCTGCGTTTCTGCGCTGGGCTAATGCTAATAATGCTAATGCGAGGATAATAAAATGGCGGCTTCACAAAACTTTTTGGGAGTTTTGCGGGGCGTGGTTTGCAATCCTTCCAGCCAATCAGAAATGTAGCTCTTTTCTCACAAAAGAGCCGTTCGAAAGTCCCTGCTCTCTAGCAGGGACTTTCGAGGGGGTAAAAAGGTTCACATGAACTAATTTTAGTACCGGCTCTTTTTGGTGTGAACGCGATAAAAGAATTCACATGAACTAAGTTCACATGAACCTTTGTGGGAAAAGTACCGCAGTGTGAAAGCGCCTATTCTGGGAACAAAGCCCCTTTTGTTAACGTATTTCTGGGGCGGGTCCTAGCACAGGATGCAGCACCTGAGCAGCAACACATTAACATGCAGACAGAAAGAGGGACATGCTGAGTGAAAAAGGAGGACAATGACAGGCCAATTACAGGCTTATACCCACAATCTACACCCGATTGGTCCAGCTATTTTACATTAAATCCTGTCCACATTCTTACGGCAGGACGTTTGAAAATGTAGAACCAAGACACATTTACCAAGTGCAGTGAGCCCTGGTTACCTCTGGCTTTTTGTTTAATACCATGCATAAACAACGTGTTTTTTATTTAAGAATTTGCCCTGTGGCGCTCACTGCTGTTGTGATTTGCTAACCGTCTCTTACCGGTCAACTAAGAAATGACCACAAAGCGTTACGTCTTACTGAATCAACATCTGTGACGTTTAACAAACATCCCTCTCTGTGTATTTGCAGTCTGACCTTTTGTGTTCACTTACAAATATTCGAATGACACACTGATTGATGTGTGTGTTAACACTCACAGCAGGCCTGCCATTAATCATTCATGTTTAATTCTGGGAGTGAGCAGGTAGGGTGCCGAGGCTAGGGACTGGATTGATGGGTGAAAGGAGATTTTAGAAAGCACACGATTTTCTTCTCAAGAAATCTACACAGCAGTTTTATAAACAAGGCCCCTCTTGTTCTTCTGCTGCTTTGTTTTGAACCATAGGCTGTTGAAAGTGCAACAAACCTTTCTCTTGTGGAAAGCGTAAGAATTAAAGACACTAGGAAACATAATCTCATGAAACACAGGTGTACACATTCTCCCCAACACTGGTTTGCAGTTGTTCCGGCATGTAAAATCTTTTGTTGTTGTACAAATAGATGGGAAAATACAATAATTGTGCCAATTGTCATTTTTGGTGTTTTTTTATCTGTAAGGTGACATTGATCTAAGAAGAATTGTTAATAGACAAGCTGTAGTTGTAATTTATTGTTTACTGAATTGACTTCCTCGAACACATCATTAGAGAGAGAACCAGTAGATAGTTTAATTTCATCAGCGGTGGCTCTTTGTTCACACTAAAATCACACAAACTCAAATTTTTAACTACCTGTTACTAACCATGTGAAGCCAAACATAAGAGCTGTGTGCTATTTCTGACTGTATCACTTGCACTATTATCAATGGGATATTTGCAAAAAATACATTTAGATATCTAGCTCAGAGATTTTATGTTTGGTTCAATGGATAAAAGAACACTTTTTAACCATGTTTTTATTCCTTCAGTGATTTTAAAAAGTATCTTCTCTGTGTTAATTCAACTGGAAAAGCTCAAAGAATATATGTTAACAACCAACATGTTTTTCTAATGACATGCTCAATATTTAATGTGTTTTAAATAGTTTGTTAACTTGTATAACTTAAAAAATAATTGTAACGTAATGTTTTAAGACCCTGACACACCAAGCCGATATCGGCTGTTCTCGTAAGTCGGGAGACGAAGCGTGTCCTGTCGCCCAAACTCAATTTGGTGTGTCCCGAACCGTCGACCGTGACACGCCTTATTTGGACTGCCCGATCCATGGCCGATTCAACATGTTGAATCGGCCATGGATCGGGTCTGGCAGTCGGACCAAACAATCACTCTGATTGGCTGTTCAGCTAGCGAATCAGTGCATGAGAAGCGATACGGAAGTGAGGGATGTAAACAAACGATTTAAGAAGAAGGCACACACAGACTGCTATTCATATTTAAATATAGCAACATCTTTAGCTTGCATACCTGTTGCCAAAAATCGCAGCGTAACCATCAGACGTGTCCCCACGGAGATGCAATCCGGGGTAGTTGGTGTTTTCCCTCTGGGTGATTGGAGTGATGAGTTCCTCCAACGTGTGGAACTGCACAGGAAAAAGCCGAGCGAAATTTCTGAAATCTGGCACTTCATTGAATTCCAGCTCTCGACACAGGTTCGGGAAAGCACCGTGAGCTTCTCGCTGTAGTATCCATGACTTCACCCATTTAGTGCGGTTTCTCCTAATTCTTCGCTTCCGCTTCTTGAGAGACTGTTGCTTGAGAATGTCTTCCACAAGTAACACTGCAATGGCTGATAGCTCCAGTGCCGCACGAAACATGTTTAAGATGGACGAGAGGGAAAATGGAACGCACAAGCTATTTGTTGTTGTTTATATCACGGTCTGTTCTTCCGGTTGTTGCCTCTTTTGAATGACGAATACACACTACTGCCGCCTGCTGGTAAGGTGAGTTATTGCCACTCACGCACTGAAGTCTTTGCGGTGTGTTCCCGTGCGACACATGGCCAAGACGCAGGAGAACACGGCCAGGCAACAGCCGACGTCAGCGTCGGCGAGTCCTCTGGTGACTGCTTGGTGTGTCAGGGCCTTTAAAGCCAAGCATGTCTGCCTTGTGATTTATAATGTTCATTCGGCCGAAGACTTTTGAAGCCTCGGCACATTGACCATTGTTTGTACATTCTTGACGTTTGTGGAAGCTACTATCACTTTTTAAATGTTTCAGAAAAAAAATCATAATTTTTGTATGGGTCAAGTGTTATCCATTATTTGTTGTTAGCAATAACTTCTATTTGAATGTCTTCAGCAATCATTGTTCATGTAATCAGCCAACAGATCTATCATGCTGTCCGCCTATGACTAAGACATTTGTCTTTTTATGTTTACTTAAAAAAAAAAAACATTCTTTATTTGTCTATGCATTGTTGTTTTTTTCTCCTTTAAAGGTGTCTTACTGTACATTTTATCGGGTTGTTCTACAGCCTGTAGTCAAGTTGTGGATGCATGTATGTGTGTTTGAATGTGAATCTGTCATCATTCAATTTGCTACCGGTTTTTGATCTTCACCATGCGGTTGCGTTTGACTAGGATCGATGTATCTTTTTACTGTGATGACCTTGCCTAATTGTCCTATTTTTTTGTGTTGCTTTTTATATTTTATTTTCCTCTCAGTCGACATTGATTAGTTGGTTTTGTTTTTGTATGGCTGCTGACCATGTCCTGACTTAATGCTTCCAAATCCTATACCAACTGAACCATTAAAGATATTTTAAACAGTGCAAAGTTACCTTTCCTTCTTTTCTCCAGGATTAAGTTGAACGTCACACATGCAAGCTCCAAGATTAGAAAAGTATCTTTGCATACATGGCTGCTTGTCTACAGATAAGGCCTCCTGCTCGCCATAATATGGGTAAAACCATTACTTCTTTGTTCTCCTCTTATCAACCGTATGTACAGGAGGAAAATTATACTTTTGTTTGATAAGTGAAAAATGCAGTTTGTAAACAAAGACAGTTGATACAAAATCTGAAATCTTCAAATCAAAGTCCAAGGGGGTCAAAGATGACAAAACAATGTAGGCTACTAAAGGTCTACTAACCCTCCGGGGCTTTCAAACATAACTTAGTTTTCATTTAACTGTCAAAGTTCAAACTTTTCCCATAATGGGCAGAAGCATATATATAAACATTTATATATACAGTCTATGATATAAACACTAGATGGCTCAAGGGGGAGTCGCCAGTGTAGCTCACCGGTGGCCATCTTGCCACAGTCAACAACTGCTACAGCTGTTGTAAGGTGAGTGGTCTGCACAAAAATACTCTTAACTCGCTGAAATCTTGACTGATTTACAAACGGTTTGGTTTATTATAAACGTTATTAGCATGATACAGGAGACAACAAGACATGTTGAGAAAACAAGTTCATGATTATAATTATAAGTATGCAATATCATAACTACATCTTTGATGTTTATAATAAACCAAACCGTTTGAAAATTGGTTGAAAATTGAGCAATCTACGGTTATTTCAATAGTGCACCATAGACATAATGTTATGAATGAGCGAGCTGCCTGTGGCAAGATGGCCGCCATGTGGCAACGTCGGTCTCCATTGGCCAGCAGCGCGGGTGAGTCATCTAGTGTTTATATATATCTATGGGCAGAAGCCTGCGAGCTAGTTCAGGACGTCAAGTCGAGCACCAATGATACATTTACATGTGACGCTCCTCTTCCCTCTTACAACCAACCAAACCAAAACATCTAATCATCACTCAATGTTGTATGTAAATCTGTGGAGTGATGAGGCCTGAGCCTAGACGACAAACTCAAACTATATGCTGCTTCTAAAAATCATATCAAAGAACATTCTTTATCTGAGTGACCCACAGTGACAATGTCATGTACTTTTTTGTA